TTGGGAGAAATGGGAGGGGGGAGGAGAGATGGGAGGGTTGGGGAGAAATGGGAGGGTTAGGGAGGAATGGGATTGTTGGGGTTGGGTTGGGGCTCGCAAGTCACAGGAACGCGTGGGAATCGTGACAGGTGCTACAGGGGCATTGAGAGGCCTAGAGGGCGCAGCAGGGGCATTGAGGGCATTGAGGGCATCGAGGGCATCGAGGGCATTGAGGGCATTGAGGTTCACAGCATCTTGAGGCGGGAGAGGGCGGCAAAGGCGGTGGGGATGCTTCCTGTGAACCCATTCATCGGCGCGTAGCTGCTCACATGCATGCCGTGGGACAAGCGCATGCCATGGGACAGACGCATGCCATGGGACAGACGCATGCCATGGGACAGACGCATGCCATGGGAGGGGGAAAGCCCGGGCATGACATGGCATGGTGATGACATGGGGAGTGAGCGACAACGAAAAGGTGTGAGGGGAGTATGTGGAGTGGGAAGGTGTGAGGGGAGTATGTGGAGTGGGAAGATGTGAGGGGGGTGTGTGAAAAGGTGTGAGGTGTCAGCTGTCGCATGACTCTTGGCAACATAAAGGTACCAAGAATGCATGGGACAGCACTGAAGTTTGTGGGTAAGAGGAGAGTGTAGCTTTGCTAGTATACAGTATTATGCGGTTTTGGGATTGGATGAACAGAATTCGGGAATGGGAGGTTGGCGCGGAGGCCGACAGTTGGGATGGTGGGTGAGCTGACGTCATCCAGGTCAGCAGGGCTGAGAGCGACGCGGTGAGCAGGCATGCAGAGAGGGGATTGGAGCAGAGACGGCGCAATTACTGGGAGCCATCACGGAGGAGAAATTTCCGAAACGGCCCGCGGCTTGAGCAGTTGGGAGGGATGGGTTTGGCCCAGGATGTCTCCTCTAGTGAGGGAGAACAAAACTCAGGCTGAGCGATTGCTTCATCACTTTGTTTGTTCTCTCGGACACCGTGGGAAGACTTGTATGCCTTGTTGCTAGTGGAAGCATTCCCGGGCAAATGTTAGATCCACGATGAGAGGATAGATAAAGGAGAGCTAGGGAGACGAGGGGATAGTGAGTGGACCTCGGGATCATTTCCTTGAGAGGGTGCAGCAAGAGGTAGTAACCTACAAAAGACGCCAAGGGCAGAAGGTGAAGGATCCAGGGTAGCTAGTACTAGGAAGAAAGAGGGGGAAGCGAGCCAGGGTGAAGGAGTGTGTGTGACAAGGTGTGAGGGGAGTATGTGGAGTCGGAAGTTCGACGAGGATTCACGGATGCTGGCTCTGGCCGTCGTTGTAGTTGAGGGAGCATGTAAAAAATAAATAAATAAAGAATAGTTGAGGGAGCATGTTTAAGTGGTACAAACATCACACACTAGAGGAGAGCCATGTGACACAAGTGTTGCAGGCTGCAAGCGATGAGTGCGTTGCCACTGACAGGTATTGCAGGGCGGCGAGTTGGCTGATGGAGCCGGGCAGCGATCCCGAGAGGGCCGTGGACGACATACTCCTGACGCACGGGGGGGGGGGGGGGGGAGGGGGGGGGGTGGTATGATGGCGTGAGATGGCATGGGGGTGTGATGGCATGGGGGTGTGATGGCATGGGGGTGTGATGGCATGGGGGTGTGATGGCATGGGGGTGTGATGGCATGGGGGTGTGATGGCATGGGATGGCAGGTGCGAGGGGCGTACAGGTGGGAGGGGCGTACAGGTGGGAGGGGCGTACAGGTGGGAGGGGCGTACAGGTGGGAGGGGCGTACAGGTGCGAGGGGCGTACAGGTGGGAGGGGCGTACAGGTGGGAGGGGCGTACAGGTGCGAGGGGCGTACAGGTGGGAGGGGCGTACAGGTGGGAGGGGCGTACAGGTGGGAGGGGCGTACAGGTGCGAGGGGCGTACAGGTGGGAGGGGCGTACAGGTGGGAGGGGCGTACAGGTGGGAGGGGCGTACAGGTGGGAGGGGCGTACAGGTGGGAGAGGGCAGTGAGATGTCCCAGCTCTTGAGGCAGAGGCCCCTGAAAGTTATTCGAGTCAATTTCGCTGTCGCCAGGTAGGGGGGATGGGGCGGCAGAGGGGCCGAAGGAGGGGGGTCTTGTGGGCATGGTAGACCGCCAGCGGAAGAGGCGAGTTGGGAGGGAGAAGAGTGACAAAGAAAGGGAGCCAACAGGAGGGTCGGTTGGATAGAGAACTCAATGGGCCAAAATGGCAGTGATGGGTGACTGAGAGATGGGCGACTGACAGGTTCGTGAGGCGGCGCAGGCGTGAGATGGCTGGCGGAATGGAGCCCGTGAAGCGGTTCTTGGCGACGGTGCTGGGGGGAGGAGGGAGTGCGAGCACGCGGGGCAAAAACGGCAGGGCAAGGCAGGGCAAGGCAGGGCACGGCAGGGCAGGGCAGGGCACGGCAGGGCAGGGCACGGACAGCATGAGGTGCGGAGAAAGTGGCGAGTGGCCGGGGCGAGGAAGGTGGAGAGAGGAAGGAGGAGGAGGGGGAATGGTGGGAAGAGGGGACGAAAGAGCAGTCAGAGGCACCACAATGTGAGCCCTCGCCAGCATGTGAGACGTTATGCCGTGGCTAGAAGGTAAACAGGGTTGAAGGTTACAGGTCAACAAGCAATGTCATGTTGGAGACGATGCTGAGAATACGGCCCGTGAAGTAGTTGCTGTCTAGAACTCTGCATGCAGCACACGCACACATACATGCAGGCACACATGCACACATGCACACACACACACACACACACACACACACACACACACACACAACACACACACACACACACACACACACACACATGCACAAGCAGGGCCACACACATGATGGGTGAAGCAGGGCCATGTAGCCCCAAAAAGCACACTGCATGGGGCGCACAGCTCCTCCCACTCCAACCGTGGGCCACAGCATCCCAACTCAGGCACCAACCCCCCTCACACACACACGGTCATAGGCGCCTCACAGTGTGCAGGGCGCCTCACAACGTGGAGGGTGCCTCACAGCGTGCGCAGGCGGACGAGGGTGGAGAGGGTGGGCGGCACAGGGCCCCACAGATCGTTGAAGCCCAGATCGCTGCCCACAGGAAGGAGGGGGGGGAAGAGGTGGGGGGGAGAGGATGGGTGATGATGGTTGGGTGGTGAATAACAGCGAAGCAAAGGAACGAGTGACTTTGGCATTGGGGCGTGAGAGAAAGGGGGGTGGGGGCAGGGCGACTGACAGCGTGTGGAGGCGCGAGAGGCGGGTGAGGGCGAGGGGGAGGGAGCCGTTGAGGCCTGATGAGTGCACGTCCCTGCGCACCACGCGGGGGGTCAGGGGGCGCGGATGGAGGCAAGGAGGGGATGGAGGCACGGAGTGGTGGTGGAATGGTTGGTGAGGTTGGGCAAGCAGCGAGCGATTGTTGCGGTTGTGGCGGCGGGGGTACTGCTGTTATGAAGCATGTGGTTGCAGTGGGGAGGCACGGGAGGAGATGGCAGCGGCCTGCATTGACAACAAGGCGTGCCGTCACTCATGGTCGTGAAATGAGACGATTTTTTAGGCGCCTCAAAAACGGCCTGCATTGACAACAAGGCGTGCCCGCGGGGCGGGGGCAATAGCACGATGCGCCACTCACTGGCGTTCTTGCGTCAGGCTTACACGCAACGCCCTCACACTCACAGCTACGCCTCGCTCAAGCCCTGCTCCCCTCTATCGCAACCCCGCTCTCTCCCACGCCCTGCCTTCGTCCCACGCCCTGCCTTCGTCCCACGCCCTGCCTGCATCTCGCGCCCTGCCTTCACCCTGCTTTGCTGCACGTCCGTCGCACTCACAGCGACGTCACCATGCCGTCCTGGTCGCATGTGATCGCCTGCGCCTGCGCGCACTCCGCGCCTTGCGCCCACCCCATCGCGCTCATCCCCCACTCCGCCTCGCACTCCAGCAGCGCCGCCGCTGCGCGCCGAGTGCAGGGGAATCGAGGGCAAAAAGGTGAGGGGGGCAGCAGGAATGCGGGATTCGAGAGGAGGAGAGGGGCGAGTGGCGAGGGAACGAGTTATGAGAGACGCTTAACAGTGCGCTATGGGGAGAGGATGACAGAGAGAAAGGTGGTCGAGATTCACGCGACAATGCCAGGTTACCATTTGCCGACAATGCCAGGCGAACTAAATGCAGGAAGGCTCCATACGGAGGCGCTGCTGCCTTGGAACCGACTATCGAACAGCTCAATGGGCGAAACGTTTAGAAGCCACAGCCTGCTTGTGCGGTAGTAGATAAGACGTGACTGTAAAGGGTAGGGCTACTTATGAAGGAAGAGAACAGCCGATAAATGGAGATGGCGTTGCGAGCATAGCCCACCTTGGGAATCGGCGAGCGGAAACGGCTGGACAACTGGCGGCAGGAGAGCGACGACGACCGCCGCAAGACACGGAAGGACAACTGCGAATATCCGCGAGCTAGCCGCCCTCGCACAACCCATTGCAGTGACGGCGAGGCTCGACGGTGGTTGCTAGGCTATCATGGCTGGGGGGACGTATGCTGGACCTGGAAAATATAGGCTCAGGGCTGGTCAAAAGGCGGAGCGAGCCGTGGTGCTGTACGGTGCATCATACACCTGGACATGGGCCTGAGGGTTTGCCCTGTGGCGGAGCACCTGCCAGTGCTACGAAAACGACGAGAAGGGTTACCATGTCTTACGATGAGAATGCGTGGTTGTTGTCACAGCTAACATCCTGTCGCATATCGCGCCATTCTTTTGAATGTGCAACTCATCCTCGATAACAGACCCCAGCTCATACAAGAAGCGCGCGCGAAAAGATGGTGTCAGGCATCAGCCTATTTGAAACGGGCAGCGCGGTTCGGCTATCTATCACGGATGCGTCGCCTCTCCACTTTTCACTTTCGGGAGGAATAAATTACGGTCCTGTACGATTGCGAATCATTTCGGTTCGGTTGCGAACTACTGACGGGTGGGTGTTGAAAGTTGAACTTGCTGTGTTGCTCATCCGAGCTCGTAGTCGTTCCACCCAACTCGCCATCATTCATCCCTCCGTTGCGTCTTCACTTGTGTTTCCCCTCAACTAGCTTATTCTTAGGACCTCGCTCTCGCATTCCACACAGACTTGCAGCTCGCGTCGCCACGTAGTAGAGCACCAAAGACACTCAAAACATCGGCTTAACTGCTTTTTCCACACAGTCACGAGCCGCCATGGTCGCGGAGTCGTCGACACCCACGAAGGATCTCTCGCAATCCTTCGGTTCTCTCGCGCTGAACAGTACTCCATCCGTTCACGCTGTTCGAGCCGAGAGCGAGATGCAAGGCGATGTAGGTCGAGAGAGCGGCGACGGGTCGGGTCTGCCTGCTGAGCTGCTGTCGACCGTCTTGGGGATGCTGCTGTCGCTCGACGACCTCGCCACCGCCGCGAGGGTTAATCGGTACGCTCGGACAGAAAAAACCTTACCGTATTGAATGCTTTCTGGTAACACTATCTGTCTGCCTGCCCTGCTCGTCTCCCCACTCACCGGTGCCCCCGCGTTGATGTCCTCTCCGCAGGGCATGGCGCATCTCCGCGCTGTCCCCCTCGCAGCTGCGCGCCTGCGCGATCGACGACGACCGCCCTACCGCGCCCTCCGCGCACAGCCGCGCGCTCGCGCTCACCCGCGCTGTCTCCCGCGCGCCCATGCCCCCCAAACCGCCCCCTCCGGAGCTCTGGCTCAACCCCGCCGCGTTCTCCCCGTTCCTCCACTTCCGCACGCCGCAAAGTCCCCGCCGCCCGGCGCACACCGCCTTCAGCAACCCCGTGACAGCATCCTCCGGCGCCGCTAATGCGGTGGAAGTCTCCTCCTCCAGCCTCGCCAGCGGCGTGTCGTTCGGCGGCGCTGCGCCGGCGACACCAGAAGCTGCGGTCGCCTGCAGGCAGGCGGAAGGCGCGGAGGGACGCGGCTGGAACTCCGAGGATGAGCGAGCGGCGGGCAGCGCGTACGGCGGAACGGGGGAAAGGGGGTCGTGGTCGTCGCCGCGCACGCCGTCGCCTGTGGCGATGAGGGAAGGCGAGGTGACGACGCTCGAGGAGGAGGTCGCTGACGCCGTGAAACACGGCAGGTGCGATGCGAGGGGGGCGGAGGCGTGAGGCGTGATGAGTGAAAGACCGCTCGGGTCAGTGCCTCCGTGGGTTGTCGTTGATGCCTCCTCGGGCCCTGCCTAACGCACCGCTCCCACCCTATTTCGTCGCTGCCCTTTTCAGGTTCCTGGGTGACCTGGACCTGCGCTCTCCACGAATTACGGACCGCACATTGCAGTGAGTGACGCGCCACGTGGCAGGCATGGCATTGCATTGCATGGTCGGCACGACCATCGATTCTCGTCTCGTTCCCGAAGCCCAATCCGCTGCTCCTCTCCGTCCTCTCTCCGCGCACCACTCCTACTTCACCCACCAGCCTCCCTCTCTCTTCTCCTCCTCCCTTCCCATCCTTCCTCTTCTTCACATCCTCCTATCGCTCTCCTTTCCTCCCCTTCCCCCACCTACCCCCACAGGCGGGTCCTGCGCGCCTGTCCGCGCATGCAGTCCCTGCGCGTGCAGCACGTGTGCATGGGCGCCACCTTCAACGGCTCCCCTCCCCCTTTCCACAGCCTCCTCTCCCCCACCTCCCCCTACCACCTCCCCGCCTCCACCTCCCCCTCCCCGTCATCTTCCCCCCACCAGCTTCCCCTGACCACTTCGTCCCCCCCATGCAGCCCTCAACCCTCCCATGCCGCCCCCCCCACCTGCTCCGCCTCCCCGCCTCACACACCACGCGACTCCTCCTCTCCCCCGCTCTCCTCGCCGCGTCCTCTCCCTAGCCCGCAAGTGCCTCCCCCATCCCCCCATTCCCCCTCACTTCCCCTCCCCCGCCCCCCTACCCGTGTGGCTGCCTGCCCCTGTCCGCCCGTGGCCTGGCGGGCATTGGCGCGCTGTGTCCGCGGATCAAGGCGCTCACCCTCACGCTGCAGGTGAGACGCTGAAAGGTTACGAGAGGGGGAAGGAGGAGGTGGAGCATGCGATGAGCGGGCATGCCAGGGCCGTGGATTTGAAGGCCTTGCATGGAGGCATGCTGTGCGAACACGGAACTGGTTCCTTCACCACGCCACTCTGCTCTCCACCTCCCCACCCACCCCCCTGCCGTCGCTCCTCCCGCCCAGCATGTGGTGTTCTCGTGCGACCTGGCGGGCGTGATGGCGTGCGTGGGCGCGCTGCCACGCCTGGAGATGCTCGTGGTCGACCTGCACATGCCGTGAGTCACTCAGAACACACTCACAGCTCGCCACTCTGCCACATGGCATGCACCACTATGTGCCTCGTTCACATCCGTTCACCGTAACTGCAACCATGCCTTGCGCCTATGGTCCCTCCTGTTCGTGTCTTGCGGGTCATCTTCCCCTGCCATGTCTCCCTCTCCTTTCGCCCATTCCCGCTGTCAGTTTCTTCGGCCAGTCAGTGAAGCCCGATGCCATGTGGAGCACGCACTCCTGCTTCACGCACCAGGTCCGCCCACCCCTTCCACTTTAGGGCCATGCTCTCTCTGCGTAACCCTTTCGCAAGCAGGCCCCCGCCCTTGTGTGTATGGCGCTTGTGCCCTAGTCATACTCAGAAGTGATGTTTATTGTCCATTGCGTTTTCGTTGTAACTTCGATTGCCACCTCGCGTAACCCTCATGGTCAACACAAGAAGCTAATTCACTTCCATACATCCACCCACATCCCGCCAGCAGGCCATGGCAGCGCTGGTGTCGGCGGGGCCTGCTCCCCTCGCAGCACTGTCCCTCAGCCCCTGCGCCCTCACACCCTCCTCCTTCACCCTGCTCGCCACTGCTTTCCCCCGACTCATGGTGGGTGCTGCTGCTGCTGCCCTCTCTCGCTCTCCGTATCTAGCTGCCAGCACTCATTGTTCCACTGGCGTCAAGGACACACAACTACTACTGTGCCCGCCCTGCTCTCCCTTCCCCCATCCCCCTCCCACCAGGCACTGGACCTGCAAGAGCTGCAGAGCAAACCCCTGCACCTCACCCACGCCCTGCCACTCCAGGTACGACTAAGCCCTATTCATACCACATATTTTCTGGCGGGCCTTGGACTTGCCTCCACGACTACCTGGCCAGCGGCAGCAGGCAGCATTGAGCACTGCTTGTGCCACACTGGGCACACTGGGCACCTCATCAATCACTCGGGTGCTTCCTGTGTGTTGCCCGCTGTCAGGCGCTCCAGCATTTACAGGCGCTGGCTCTTGGCCCCACACTCATGCCAGCCCCAGGTGGGTGGGAGCTGCCCCTAAGGGGTTTGCAGCGTTTGCGCTTGGAGATGGATTTCCTCCCCTCCCAGGAGTTGCTCGGTCAACTCCGCTGTAGCTGCCCAAAGCTGAAAAGCCTTCACTTGTTGTGGGGGCGAGTGCACAAAGGAGGAGTTATGGAGGCATACGTATGCCCTTTATCATTAGAGACCATCAGCTCCTTGTATTCCAACAACCAGTGATGAGATGCTGTTCCAGTTACAACATTAATAAACCAATTTCGTACAGCTATCCCACATGGAACGAGAGACCAACTTAACATAGAAGGATAATACAGTTTAAAGACTAAGCAATGGTACAGTTGTTTTGTGTTATGGATATAACTTGCACAGTGCTTGCAAGGACCACACGTGCCCAAGGCGCCCAGCAGAATGGCTGGCGCTGGTGCCGAGCTGAGTGAAAGACAAGCGAAAGTGCGATTCCCAGCTGTGCTGGCAGGTTTCGTTTCGCATTGCCTTTCGGCATCTGCAAGGTGGGAGAAACTGATTCGTTGTCAAAAAGGTCCACCTCCACATCTTGTTACATCTTGCGCTTCTGATTGGTTCCTGAGCTGGGGGGTTTCTTCTGAAGCTTGGTGTGTAATGGAGTCGCAGGTAGGTTGGTCTGTTTGGTGTGGGTGGGTGGTTGTGTGCGGTGGAACAACCGGACCACCAATCCGCGATTGATTGTTCTTGTGGAGGAGAAGGGTCCGTTGGGTTGGTCATTCAACCGAACCGCATTGACTGCTGTCCTCCTCATGCCCCTCCCCTCTGAGATGCTGCATTCTGCGTTCGGAACTCTCAGATGCTTATTTCTGAGCATTCTGATCATTGTGCCCGAGGAAGGCTGGCGATGGAACTGTAAACCTCTTGCTTGCTCGACATTTTCAACGAACGCGCATTGTCTACCCAGCGTTTTCTCAGCCGAGCTGATCTACTGATCGCTTCAAGTTCCATGGCGGAACATTTCACTTCACACTTTCCAAACACATTTTGGCCTGATGACTTACCTTGCAGTCCTCGCTCTGATAAAGATTACTGGCTTATAAGAACGTCCATACTCGCAACCAAGTGTTTATCAGGCCCCCGACGCTTGTTTCGTGATGTCATCGAGTGCTGCGAGCTTGCGACCGACATATGCGAGAGTCTAATTGGAATACCTTCAGAGAAGTCGTTTGACCTTCTTAACCGTGCCTCCCGAATTCAGGTTGGTGGGCTTCACGACTGGAGATGCATTTTCTTGGCGTTAATCATGTTCTAACACGGTGCTCATCATGTGACGCAGAGCCTTTTAGTTGAAGACCTCTTTGAGTACGAACAAAACCAAAACGAGGAAGATGTTGCGAGAAGCCTTGCGCATCTCGACACTGTGGCCGAGCAGGTGCGCAGAATGTGATTTCTATGACAGTTCTTCTTCAAGGGCAACAGCCCGTGTTCTGAAAGGTATGCTCCAATGTTTCAGGTGAAGAAGGCATTGTGCGAACTTATCAAAGCTCACTGGAAGACCATTCCGCAAAGTAGCCGTTATCAGAAACTGCAGGATAGTGTGACCACTCTCGAGGCATCGGCAATTCAACTGGTGGGTGTCTGCTTTCCATTCTTTCTTTACTGCTCGGTCGGTTTTTTTCCTTCGCTCATTAAGCATGCGTTCTGTGGCCAGGGCCAGGCTCTGTCCCAAACGTGCTCCCGCTCAAATGTGTTGGCCGACTCCAGTGCAAGATCAGACCGTGACTCACTGCTGCTGTCGACTTTGCCGCTGCAACTACTACCTGTGGATGACTGGGACGACATCATGCCATGGCAGCCAGCATCCATGGAGCCAAAAGTTCCTTCAGGTGCAGCTTGGTGACAACGGTTCATGCTGGATTAATCCAATCTTCGCTGTTCTGACTATCTTTGGTATATGTGTGCAGCTCCAGAATCAGAAAATGGGACACCAGTGCGGCCCCATCCTCCCAGCTTGAATCCCACTCCTTGTCCAGACTCACCAACCTCTTGCAAGGCAAACCCGGTTGGCAATGACATGACATCATGTGATTTCAGATCCGCCATCATTCCAAGAGAATTATATCCCCAGCCTGTATTCACAAGACGTGTGCGCTTGAACGCTTGAATGCTACGTTATCACGTCCGTAATTGTTGCAGCCCCTCCACTGTCAGGTATATGTGAATATATTGCGTGTTCTAACTGTTTTACAATGGGAAAGTAACACTAATCCTATTAAATATCATCCTTCTACCATGATGCCTCTGCTTCTAGTTTGAAAACAACACTCAAACGTCATGTCGCAATGAACGACTGATTCAAAAACGGGTTCCGTGATGTGTTGAGGGCGTACCCGAATAGAAGAGTCGGCTGGAGGTTGGACAAGCTGTTCGGATCACAATCTGCTCCACCAGGAGACCTCGGCGGTTGACTGCACTGCCCCGTTCAAACTATGCAATGTGAATTGTTCGGCACGGATTTTGGCACTTTGGAAACGGCCCCTCCCCAAGACCTGAAAAAACATTTTTGCGTACGCGACAGAGTGCGACCTTGAGTAAGAAGGACTGTTTTGCGTCGCCTAAATTTGAATATTTGAAAATTGCTGCTTGAAATTACACCTTGCTATTTGGCACTCCACAATCAGTTCGCTAGCGCCAGCACAAGTCCTAACCAATCAGATATTTGACTAACTAGACGATACGTTAGGCCAGGTTCAGCGCAATGTACTCTAGGATGGCGCCGTCGATGGCGGGCATGAATGCCGCGCACGGCGACGAGCTACCGCGGCAGCGGCGGAAGCGGAGGACGAAGGCGCAGATGGCTGCGGACAGGGCGATTGCGGCGGCTTTCAAGCGGAAGCGCGGGAGGCCGAGCAAGTCGGACGTGCTGGCGCGGCAGGCGCTGATCATGGCGGCGCACAGCGGCATGCCCGTCACGGACCCCTCCAACATCGACGCCATCCTCGCCGCGCAGAACGCCTCCGCGCTCGTGCCCACGGCCACGGCCACGCGGGCGAGAATGACCAAGTCGCAGCTCAAGGCGCGGCGGCTGAACCAGGGCGCCGGGGACGACGGCGCGGCCGTGCAGCCGGGGTGGGTGGGGCAGAACGTGCAGGGCGTGCTGGACGGCACGTTCGACGCGGGTTACTTTGTTACCATCCGCGTGGGCAACACCAACACCATTCTGCGCGGCGTGGTGTTCGCGCCCGGCGTAGCGGCCCCCCTGCCATGGCCCGAAGACGCGGCGCCAAGAGTGCTCAAGCTGAAGCGCGACCCGTCCGTTGCGCTCCCCGCTGCTGGCGATGCTGGCGATGCCGCTGATGCCGGTGATGCCCCCGCTGCAGTGGCAGCAGCACCCGCGGCGGCAGCAACGGGCGGTGGCGCAGGCGGACTGGCTGAACGACCAGCCGCACCCGCAGCAGAATCGCCGCCCGCAGCAGAGCCGGCAGCAACGGCAGGTGCAGCAGGCAGAGCAGCAGCGGGAATGGCAGGGGCAGATGCAGCGGCGCCAGGAAAGCTGTCGCTGACAGAAAGCTCGGCGGCCGTAGTTGCCCCTTCTAACACAGGTGCAGGGGCGGCAGCAGCGCCACACAGGGCAGGGGAGGCGGATAAAGCGGAGGGCGGGCCGGAGGTGAAGGGCGAGGGTGGGTCGGTGTGGGAGGTGGTGATCTGACGTCAGCCGCATTGGCTGCTCCAAGCAGGGCATGCAGGGGGGGACATAAGAGTATGGTCATGGCTCATGGCTGGCCGTCCACACTATACTCTGAGATTGGTTGGTCATGCTTCCCACATTGTGGGAATGTGCCGGCAGGAACACTTGCATTGCATTCTCCTCTGGCATTGCTGCTGTCACATGGACTAGTGGTGTTGGGCAATGCTGCTGTGGCATGCCTGAGTGTTCATCCGCCTGTGCTTCTTTCCTACAGTGCGCAACATGGGACCAGCTTGAGAGAAACGTGCCTTTACATTGAATGCACACCAGTGATTCACACTCCCATCAATAACCAACACACCCAAATTGGCTATCCTGTATGCAGACCTAGCTGGAAACGCCTACTTATGAGAAACATGGAGAGAGCGGAAGCCAAGACAGCAGGTGGCTCCAAGAGACTCGACGGGATGGGACTCGATGACTCAGTGAGCGATGGAGGGAACGCGTGAGCAGCAGTGTGGGAAGGAGGGGGGAGGCGCTGGTGCTTAGAAGGGCGAGGGGAAGGCGGGGTCAAGACCTGCTGGTGCTCCCAGTGTTGCATCCAAGCCAAAGCCCTGCACCAGTGAGAAGGGAGGACGAAGCGAGGCGAGCGAGGGAAGGTGAGAGTGAGAACGCGAGGCTTGAAAACAGACAGTGGACATGAGCATGCGGAGTGCAAGCGTGGCAGCACAGTGGATCATGCAAAGGACCATGGCCTTGATGTTTCCACTGCCCACCTCTCCTGCTACAGCCTACCCCACCCTCCTCCTCCCACCCTGCCTCCTGCCCCATCACAGCACCCGCCTCACCTCCTGCTGCCACACCCCGCCCCGCTCACCGATCTCTGCTGCACCCCTCCCACTCACCTCCTGCTGCAGGCGCGCCTCCTCTGCCCGCGCTGCTGCCTCTGCTGCCGCCACGCGCTCCTTGAACGTCGCCGCCATCTCCTCCGCCTGCCACGCACGCACAGCCGTGCCGTGCCACGGTGTGGTGGGGTGTGGTGGGGTGTGGTGAGGTGGGGTGGGGTGTGGTGGCGGAGAGAAGGGGAGTGGAGGAAGCAGCAAGCACGTGAGGAAGGGACGAGGGATGGAGGAGGAGCGAGTGAGGACCAGAGCACAGCCAGCTGGCGCTTAGAAAGACGGGCCGCAGGGAGCAGCGGGTGGGTGAGGCCAGGGCGTGCGCGGGCATGGGGTGTCACCTTGTCGAAGACGAGCTGGGGGTTGCGCAGCATGTCGCCGGGCGTGGGCTCGAGCTTCTTGGTGGAGAGGCTCACGCGCCCGCGCTCGCTGTCGAAGCTCAGCACCATCACCTGCGCGCACGCCATGCGCCCCGGGGCGGGGGCGGGGGCGGGGGTGGGGGTGAGGGTGGGAGCGAGGGCGGGGGTGGGGGCGGGGGTGGGGGTGCGTTGGTACGGATGGGGATGGGGATTGGAAGAGAGGCCGTTGCGCGAGCAGCCCGCTGGTGCAGCGAGGGCAGCGATGCTACAGTCACCTTTCACCCTCAGCAGCTCGCTACAATCACACACCTCGAGCTGGCGTCAGCGTGAGCTGGTGGCCTTGGCGTCACCTTGACCTGTCTCACGTGCGCCAGCAGGGACGCACCTTGAGCTGGTCGCCCTCGGCGAGCACGGACTCGACGTTGGTGACGCGGTCGTGGGAGATCTGGCTGATGTGCAGCAGCCCGTTCACGCCGCCGATCTCCACGAACGCGCCGTACGGCTTCAGCGACTGCACGCGCCCCACCACCACGTCGCCCACCTGCCCTCGACGATTGGGATTGGGGGGATTGGGGGGATTGGGGGATTGGGGGGATTGGGGGGATTGGGGGATTGGGGGATTGGGGGGATTGGGGGGGTGCATGTCGGTGCGGCGGCATGGCAACACATGGCCCCACCACCTCGTCGCCCACGTGCCGCCCAGAGGACGGGGTGTGAGGGGGCCGGGGAAGCATGTCGACGTGGCAACATGGCGTCTATGTGAGACATCGCGATGCGCTTTCCGCGCTACTCACTGCCGCCGTACCTGCAGCGACTGCGCGTGCGAGGCGGCGACGGCGCGGCGGTTGGAGAGCACGAGGCGCGTGCGCTCCTCGTCGACCTCGAGGAACTTGAGCGGGATGCGCGCGCCCACCAGATCCTCCTTCGCCGCGCGCTGCCGTCGCAAAGGAGGGTGGGTTGGAGGGGTGGGGAGGGGTGAGGAGGGTTGAGGTGGCGGGGGGGAGGAGAGGGAGGTGCCGGCGATGAGAGGCGAGTGGGTGAGACAAGGGGGCGGGGGAAGCCGTGGGAGGGGGAAGGGGAGGAAAGCCGCGAGAGGAACATAGTGCTCAGAACGAACGACTCATGCTGACGTGGCACGTACCAGGCCGATTTGCGAGAGCGGCACGAATCCTCGCAGCCCCTCGACCTCGACGAGCAGCCCGCCGCGATTCACGGCGATGACCTGGCAGGCGAGACGACGGATGGAGAGGAGGGGGGTGAGAGAAGGGGGATGAGACGAGCGGCACCGAGAGGAGGGGAGGAAGGCGAGAGGCGGCGGCGGAGAGGCGAGGGAGGAGGGAAGAGGGGAAGGTGAGACGGCAGGAATGGGGGCGGGCATGTGCCGGTGAGCGGGACGCCCAGATGTGACGCCATGGCTCGAACGGGGCGTCGCGCACGAGGGGCCATGCGCCCTACCCCAGGGGACCTACGAGTGAACCCAAAACGACCGCCGCCCCATCCCATGCGCTCCCATCGTCGGCCTGACGTCAGCACCACTCACAGTGCCCCTGACGGTGACGTCATCGGCGACGAGCTGGCGGCAGCGCTCCCAGGCGAGGTCGTACTGCAGCTTCCGGAGGCTGACGATCATGCGGCCCTGCGAGTCGTCCTCATCGACCACGACAAACTCCGCCTCCATGCCCGGCACGAGCCCCGTGTCGCTCATGTTCTTCAGCCGGAACAGACACGCCTCCGCCAGCGGCAGCAGCGCCGGCGCCTTCGCGCCGATGTCGATCAGCGCGCCCGCGTTGTCCGCCTTGAACACCACTCCGCGGACCTAAGGGGGAAGAGCCGCGGGAGAGCCAGGGGGGGGATGATAGGGGCGCGGCAGGCAGGAGGGGGGGAGAGAGGAGGAAAGAGGCGGATCCATCGGGACCCTGAAAACCCTGAATTGCGACTGGCGACGCGAACGGGACGAAAACCGTCAGCCGGAATTCGGCGCGGCGAAAAGACGCATTAGGGTTCGACTGCGTCCGCCGCTTGCATCAGAAGAAACTTCGCGCAGCCAGCACGGACTAAAACCCTAGAATCCGCCATTCCGCTTTCTACTAGGTCCTTCGCTTCCATACGCGCGTAAACCCTAGTCCGCCCCCTGTCTCGCGTCCGCTGCGCGCCACTGATCGCGTGCGGCGCGCGCACCTTGTCACCGATGTCGAAGTTGAAGTCGTACTTCTCGAGCGCCTCCTCGAACTCCAGCGCCGTGAACGCCACGCCCTCCGTCGGCTGCCGCTCCACGCGCGCGAACCGCTCCTCCGCCTCGCGCAGCAGCTCCAGCCGCGCCGTCGACGGCGGCGCGTACGTCACGCCGCATTGTACGCGAGCGCGGGAAGGCGCGATGGAAGCGAGGCGGCTGCCTGATAGGTCGCTGCTGATTGCGTTAAGGGAAGCGGGGACGCGCGCCGCCGTCGAGACGGACGCGATCTGAACGAGGCCCGCCATGGGTGAGAGTGAGCGAGCGGCAAACACGGGCGAGGGAAGATCTCGATGCGCCACGTGTGGTGTGGAGGAGAGAGGAGAGAGTGACACGCACACCGATGATGTGGTTCGAGTTGGGTGGATAAGGGGGGAGGGGAGGGAAGAGGAGAATGGCAGCTGACTCGTTATGGAGAAACGCGACTGGAAAACGAGGCTGGCAGTTCAGTGCAGTAGAGAAGCAACAACAACAGCACCAATAGCTGACCCTGAGAATTGTGACGTTTCCCGCTGATGTGACCAAAGTTGCTGGGAATGCGCCCTCGTGCGTTGCTTTCGGCAGAATTCGCCAACATGCTGCAACGTGTCACCACGAAGTACGTATTCGAGCCAAGCGCCGAGGGATTCCAACCTGATGCAGGGGTGTGTGGGTTGGCGAAATGTACACGAAGCCGCTCGCGAACTGGCGAAAGGAGCAGCTGCCTCGCCAAATGCATTGACGACGAGACCCTCGCATTTCCACATGCGCTAGCCTTACCCTCTCCCAGCCACTTCTTCCTCCAGCCATCATTGCGCAAGCCGCATTCGAATGTCGTCAGCGTTGTGCTTAGCATCGCTTGGCTGCACTTCTCTCTCCCACTCGTCCGCCAGCCCTCGTCCCCATGAATCCGACCAACGCACGTGTTAGATCCCCACCAGTCAGGGCCCGTCGCGTGTGGCTCGCATTGTTCCTAGCTCTGGCGTGCGCGTGGGGCGCAGCGCTTCTCTTCCGCTTCAGCTACCCCGCGCGCCGAGAGCTGATCGCGGCGGGGGATCCAGGGGTAGCCGTTGGGCGCGAGAGTGACGCTGACTGGCGAGGCGCGCAGTCATGGCAGTGGTTGGCGCAGGGATGGACGCGACTGGCGGAGCGGATTCGTAATGTGGCGGCGCCGCACGGATTGCAGAATGTGTCGGCTTCTGGGGAAGGCGCGGCTGTGGAGGTGGAGGGGTGGATGGACATGCGCGAGGCGGCCAGGTAGTCGACACGCGCGCGTCACTCGTGCCGCGTTGCATCCACCATGCCACGCAATGTGCGTTCTCGCGGGCCCATCACACGTGCTCTCCGCTGCCCCTGCCCTCTCCCCCCCCACCTCCGTCCCTCGCCCGGCCTTCGCGTGCAGTCGGTGGGAGCAGCAGGTGGGGTGCGCGGCGTTCAGGCGCAAGCATGGCGGCCCCGAGGCCCATGGGCAGCACACGAGGCGAGGACCAGCGGCGTTCCCAACCAATCCGAGCCTCCAGGTGCTCCCCACTCCGAGCCGAGCCACGTTTTGGCATTGGCGTTCCATCCCACCCATGACCCACACGTGCTCCCTTGCAGCCACTCCCATTGTCCTCTCATGCTCGCTCTGCCGTTCCAAGCCTGGCGGTGTCCCTCATACGACCACCCTTCCCCATCCACATGCCCGAAGCGCACCTCCCTCTCTCCCATTCCTCCCCGCTCTCGCGTCTTCCCCGCCGCCGCACCCTCCGCCCTCAGGATGTGACCTCGCCGCCATGTGCGTCGCTCACTCTCTCCCACGTGCTGGTGGATGTGGTGCAGCCTGGTTGGCTGGAGCCCACAGGGCTGGACGGCTTCCACGTGTGCCCCAGATGCGGCATCACCTGCCAGGTGCCCTCTCACCCTAGTTATCTTCAGCCCAGGCGCTGTGAGCCCAGGCGCTGTGAGCCCAGGCGTTTGTGCAACCATGCTGCCGCACGACGCGCTCTGCCATGGCATGCCACCGCACCTGCACGCCTGCACTCCCCATTCCCTCTCTCCTCAGCCTCATCCTCCCTGCCCTCCCGTCCCTGCCCCCACCTTCTTGCCTCCCTCCACTGCCCCACCCTCCCCCCAGCTCGCCTGGAATCCCTCTCTGCTGCGCGCGTCCCTGCCCCCCCACGCGCAGCTCTTCGTGCACTCCCCCGACGCCATGCCGCTCACGCGCCCCCCCGCCTCGCCGCTGCGCGTGCTGCTCCAGCTGGAGGCGGACGCCACGCTGGCGGCCGCCAAGAGGGAGGGGCGCGTGGACGTGGCCGTGGGGTACGCGGCGCGCAGCGAGGTGCAGCTGACGTACGTGGACGTGGAGCGCTCGCTCAAGGCGGGCAGGCAGCACCTCCTGGCTCCCGGGAAACGGCAAGTGTGTGCATGCACGCAGGCACATTGCCTTGTGTGCTGTGGACTCTCAACCTGCACACTGTGCACCTTCTCTGTCACTCATAGCCTCCCATGAATCTCCCCTTTCTTTCTCGGTGACTCTTAACCTCCCCTCCCCCCTCCCCTGCATACAACCCCCCCAGGACGTCCCGGTGCACCACGCCTCGTCCAACTGCGCGGTGCCATGGCGCTCTGACCTGCTGGCCTCGCTGCTGCCGCTGCTGGCCCACCACAGCTTTGGCGCGTGCAGCAACAACATGGGGGGAAGCAACCGCGAGGCAGCGCTGTATCCCGAATGCGCGCATCCGTAAGGCCTTGTCCTTGCGCCCATGGCACGCCATTCCTCACCATTCTACTTCTCCAACCCTTCAGGAAGTCCTTTCGCTCCACATCCCCTTTCTCGCCCCGTGCCCCACCTCTCCCCATGTCGCCGCGCACCCAGGTACGTGGGCGAGCAGCGGCAGGAGGTGGCGCACTGCGTGAAGTCGCACTACAAGTTCGACCTCGCCATAGAGAACACCGTGTCGCCCAACTACGTCACCGAGAAGTTCTACAGTGCACTTGAAGCAGGTCAGATGGGACGGGTCTTGCTTTGGCAAACTCTGCACGGCTGTGTTGCTCCAGCACAGTCGCCCACAATGGATGTTCTCATTCATTTCTCTCCAACCTCCCTAGGCACGGTGCCAGTATACTTTGGAGCGCCAGACATTGCCAGCTTTGCACCTCCCGAGTCGTTCATTGATGGCCGGCAGTTTGCCACGCACCAGGCCCTGGCAGATCATATTAACCGGCTCCACCGCGACCCCAGTGAGTCATGGCCGTCACATGTTCTGTTTTGATAAACATTTTATTCGTCTTCTCTTTGGTGCTCATACAAACACCTCTCCATCCCCTCCTCACCTGCTTCTGAGTTACACACATACACTAATTGTCCCCCTTACACCAGTTGCATACATGCAATATCATGCTTGGCGGTTGTGTGGCGAGTGGGGGAACTATTCACATGCACGCTCTCTTGGGTTCTCATCATTCCCATGTAGACTTTGTGAGTATATCGGTTTCACACATGTTTAGGATGTTCACATAAACGAACTGTTTCCGATGTCACCTTTATCAAGGATCAAATGTTATGACCAGGGCGAACGCGATTGGTGGGAACTTTCAGGCGAAATGATGATGGCGTCTCCATGAAAGCCACACAACCAAACCACCGTTCGATGTCCCCTGTCATCCGATCCGATACTGTAGGAGGATCAGATCAACGTGTCAAGCAGACATCCCATAAATTCCAGGCAGGCGGTCACTTGCGCGCTTGAGCAAGTGGCGAACGCAACTGTTGGACTTTTGCGAATGAAACGTCCCCAATGTCAAAGTGCCAGCTTTAGAGGCCCCGAAAAGACGAAATACAGTACACTGCATACAATGTACATCAACCGAGAAAGTTTTTGACATCTCCTCTGCAGCCTCCACAGATTCTTTCACAACAACTGAAGCGAACCCGGTCAAGTGGTGACCATCACGATTGTTACGCTGGCGAGCTTCGTCATCTCGCCCACCGTTCGCCAGTTATTGCTGCCCAAATCTACAGCCGTCAGAAATTCGCGATCATCCATTCCAGCTGCACCCTATCGCGATTGGCTGCCAGCCTTTCGTGGCTGGGCACGATGAACTTGTGCTCGCCACCAGCAGCCAGCTATCTCCCCATTTCCCCCCCAGCCCCCAGCGCACAACGCCAATGCCAGCCAGCCCGCCCGACCCCCATCTCTCCCGTCCCCGGCCAGCGCCACCATCACCCGCTCTTCCCCCCGTCCCTCCCCAGCACCGCCACCAGGCGGGTGAGCAACTCCAGCTTCACCTCTCGCTGCTAGCATCCATGGCTGCTCGTCCCTCGTTTCTCCCTTTACAACTCCTGCTCGGCTGTCCCTCGAGCTCGACACTGCTGTCATAGCATTGACTAACGCGCTCCTCGTTGATCCCTGAGCTCGTTCTCGTAGCTGTGCGAGCCTCTGATTGAGCTAGCAGCTAACTTAGTTGTCCGGCTGTTACTGTCATTCGGAACAGCGACGGCATTCATATCTGCTGTGAAATCCGAAAGCGTCTCAGGGAAACACTTTGTCGTGTTTCAAATTCAGTAGATACTTTCGACGGTCATTACCGTTGCATTTTCCCGCGTATGCGCCGAATGAGACAGTGAAGCCCTTTCCGCGCCATGCCGATGGGTGACAGCGGAGGATTCGCTGCGCCGATGGCGGTCACTCGCGCGCTGCCGACGTGGGTGGTGGAGGTGACGCGGCACCGCGAGCCGACCCGGGACGCGGTGCTGGCGGCCGTGGAGCACGCGGCTTCTGAGGCGGCGAGCATTGTGCTCGTGCACGTCGTCACGGACGTTCCCTGCGGACGTGAGCCACCGACCCCCCACTCAGTTTTCTGATTAATCTACTAGGTTTTCTGCCGTCCAGGGTGTTGGCTCGCATCGCGCCTTCACCCCCACCGCTCACCTGCTCGTAACCTACTCGTCTCTCCCACCGTTCCGCGCATTATTTTCAAATGGTCGCAGCGGCCTCACCCCCTGAACGCGTGTCTCTGTCCGCGTGTCCGCGTGTCCGCACGTGCAGGCAATCGGTCGGTGGCGGCGAGCGAGGCGGACGGCAAGGAGGCGGCGGAGCACGCCAAGCGGCTCGTCGACATTCTCGTCGAGCCGCTCCTCAAGATCGCCCGCGCCGCCAATGTGCGTCTCGTCGGCTCCAGTCATGACCGCTCGCTGCCCGCCCGTGGCCCGTCAGCCATGCCCTAACACACTCCCATGCTCGCCGCTCCTTCCGCTCTCTGCCTGTCCACCTCTACCGCTCTCCCAATCGCAACACATCCTTTCCTCCTCTCTCCCTCCCTCTCCCTCCCTCTCCCTCCTCTCTCCCTCCCTCTCTCTCCCTCCCCCTCCCTCCCCCTCCCTCTCCCTCCCTCTCCCTCCCTCTCCCTCCCACTCCCTCCCTCCCCCTCCCATATCCTTTCCCCATTCGCCCCCCTGCGCCCGCATCAGGCGCCGTGTTCCGCGGTGCTGGAGCTCAACGACTCGCGCCACAGCGGCCTCGTCGTCGCCGCCAGGCGCGCTGCCGCGGACCGCGTCTACATGGGCGCGAAGAAGTGAGCGCGGGGTGAATGGGGGAAGGCAATGGTGTGAGCCAATCAGATGCCAGGCGAGGAATGCTGTGAGCCAATCAGATGCCAGGCGAGGAATGCTGTGAGCCAATCAGATGCCAGGCGAGGAATGCTGTGAGCCAATCAGATGCCAGGCGAGGAATGCTGTGAGCCAATCAGATGCCAGGCGAGGAATGCTGTGAGCCAATCAGATGCCAGGCGAGGAATGCTGTGAGCCAATCAGATGCCAGGCGAGGAATGCTGTGAGCCAATCAGATGCCAGGCAAGGAATGTTGTGGGCCAATCAGATGCCAGGCGAGGAATGCTGGGGCAAAGAGCCAGGGTTGCACTCAACGACTCACTCCTCTTGCCCGCGATCCTCTCCCCCTAAACCGACCGCAGGAAGCTGCTGGGATGGTCGTCGTCCGCCACGGTGGCGCAGTGTCAGGCCACCCTGCCGCCGTCGTGCCGCCTGCTCATCGCGCAGGGCGGCTCCCGCCTGCAGCACCTGCAGGCTGCGGGGAAGGCCAGCTTCCCCCACCCCATCCCCCCCCCTTTCTACACCGTTCCCCCCTCCACCGCCGCACCCACCGCCGCCCCACTTCCCGCCAACCCTTCCCCATCCCCCCCCGCCGTGGCTGTGTCCGGCCCCGTCACCCCGCAGCAGCCGTCCCCCTCTCCGCCCATGGGCGCGCGCCCCGCCATTGTGCCGTCACTCTCGTCCGTCTCGCTCCCCCATCAGACCTTCGACGCCTCCCTCGCCTCCCCCTCCGCGCTCTCCTACTCCCCCTCCGCACTCTCCTCCGCCTCCGCGCGCTTCCCCCCCTCCGCGCACGGCCAGGTGGAGGCCGCGCAGCAGCAGGTGGGGGCGGGCAGAGAGGCGCCGGGGAACGCGGAAGAAGGCAGGCGGGGCGGAGGCGGGGCGGCGCATGCTCGTGGGCAGAGGTCAGTGTCGTGCGGGGGAGGGGCGGACGCGGACTCTGCGCTGCTGGCGCAGCAGCTGCAGGAGCTGAACGCGCAGGCGGGGGGGGCGGGCGGGGCGAGCCGGGAGGAGCTGGAGCGGCAGCTGCAGGCGGTGGTGGCGCTGCAGCAGCGCATCCAGCAGCAGCTGCGCGACAGCCCGCTCGCCCTCGCCTCGTCCTCCGCCAGCAGCGCCACGCTCGGGGCGTCGCCATCCAGCCAGGGCTCCGTGCAAAGCGCAGTGGGCGCGGGCGCGCGCCTGGCCATGAGCATGAGTCTGTCGCAGGACGGCGGCCCCCCTGTGTCGCCGGGGTCGATGTCGCAGGGCCACGCCACGTCGCCCCTGGGCCCCACATTCAACCCCCCGCGCTCCCCTGCTGCTGCGGTGCGCCCACACGTGGCGGGCAGTGCGCTCACCCCCCCCCCGGCCCTGTCCCCCGAGCTCTGGGCTGCCTCCTCCCAGCAGCGCCTCTTTCCGCGCATTCTGTCCGCGCCCAGCCCCTCCGCCGCTGCTGCCGCCGTGGCTGCTGCTGCCACAGGCGGGCAGGGCGGCGCGGAGAGCGGCCCCAGCAGCGCGGGCAGCTCGCCCGCAGTGTCGATGGAGCGCCGCCTGCTGCCCCCTCGCCGCCCCTCCCTGGACGCACGCGCCCTCGCCGCTGCTGCCGTGCCCTCTGCTGCAGCTGCCGCACTGGCGGGCGCGGCAGGGGGGGCCCCGTCGCAGCGGTCGCCCAGCGGGGGGGCGCGGAGAGCGGGGGCATACATGCCGCGCGTGCGGAGCTACGAGACGCTGGTTGCGCTGAGGGAGGAGGAAGGGGAGGACGGGCACGGGGAAGCGGCGGACGCACAGGGGGAGGAGGAGGAGGGGTCGGAGGGCGGGCAGGGGCGGTCGCTGGCGGACGAGCTGGCGGCGCTGGCAGCAGAGGACGAGGGGGGCGAGGGAGGGGCGTCCAGCGAGAGCTGGAAGGGCAGAGCCGTGAGCAGCAACCGCGGGGCAGACAGCACCGGTGGCAGCAGCAGGGCCAACGACGCTGAGGCGGGCCAAGGACGGCCATGTGAGGTGCGTGTGGTGCACGCTGTGGCGCCTGGTAGACCCCTCTCTTGCCCTCGTGCGGACCAACACTCCACCGCACCGTGCCATGCATCACCCCTTGCTTAACCTGCTCTTCTCTCCCCGTCTCCCCAAACCCACCCGCTTCCCCCCTCCCCCCACACCCCCTTCCCTCCCCTCCCCCCCCCACCACCACCACCCGCCCACAGGCACAGCCTCCCCCCAATGCTTGCATGCCCGAGTCCATGGCGCTGGCCCCCTCAGGCCCGCTGTCTGGCGGGCTGCCCAAGTCCGGCAGCATTCCCGGCTCGGGCGGGCTGCTCGCCCCCAGCAGCGCCGCCAGCACCGACGCCTTCCTGCCGCTCGACAGCTTCGAGTCCTCTGAAGCTTCCCAGAACCTTCAGTCTCAGCGCGACCCTGCACGGCAGTCTCGCTTCCACCACCTGTCGTCGCTGGCCCACGCGGGCCACTCCCAGGGCCCTCTGCTCGCGCCCTTCTCCCACGGTCCGCTGCACGCGCGCTCCCAGGGGGCCTCCTTCGGCCGCACCGCGTACAGCAGCGGGCAGCTGGGCGTGGGGGGTGGTGGGGGAGGGGGCGACGGGTTTGACTGCCGGCTCTTCTCCCCGCAGCAGCTGGAGCGCGCCACTGGTGGGTACGACGCGGCGAACCTTCTAGGAAGGGGGTCGTTCGGGCAGGTGTTCCGCGGCGAGATGCTGGGGTGCGCGGTGGCGGTGAAGCGGCTGGAGGGGCAGGGGTGGCAGGGGCCCGAGGAGTTCCGCATGGAGGTGGAGGTGCTCAGCCGCATGCGCCACCCCAACATTGTGCTGCTCATGGGCTGCTGCGTCGAGGAAATGGCGCTCGTCTACGAGTTCCTCCCGGGCGGCACACTGCAGGACAAGCTCGGCCCGCCCAAGGGGTCAGCGGCGGTGCCTCTGGGGTGGGCGGACCGGCTGCGCATCGCAGCGGAGGTGGCGTCGGCGCTGCTGTACCTGCACCAGAACGAGCCGCCCATTGTGCACCGCGACCTGAAGCCGGAGAACATCCTGCTGGACGCGCACGTGGGCAGCAAGATCGGCGACGTGGGGCTGGCGCGCCTGCTGGAGGCGGACGGGGCCACCACCATGAAGGTGCGCGGCACGGCGGGGTACATCGACCCCGAGGAGGTGGAGACGTGCGAGATCAGCACGCTGTCCGACATCTACGCCTTGGGGCTCATCCTGCTGCAGCTGCTCACGGGGCAGAAGAGCGTCAAGGCCGTGCACCGCATGCTGTCCGAGGCCAACAGCAAGGCCAGGGCGCGCCCGGGGGACGTGGGGCCCGGGGGGGCCAGCAAGGCGGCGGTGGCGGTGGTGATGCGGTATGTGGACACGGCGGGCGGCGAGTGGCGCAGCGACCTGGTGGAGCAGGTGGCGGGCGTGGCGCTCAGATGCGCCGACAGGCGGCGGGCAAAGCGGCCAGAGCTGCAGGGCGAGATCCACCCGTTGCTGGTGCGCATGGCGGCAGAGGCGCAGGCCGAGGTGAAGCGCAGGAAGCAGCAGATTGATGAGCAGTTCATATGCCCCATCTCCAAGGTAAGCACCGCAGCACTTGGCTCGTGTGCGTGCGCTGTTGCAAAAATGAGTATTAGGGGCTTGAGTAAGAAGTAGGAGTAGCAGTGCCAGTGCGAGGGGCTGTGAGTGTGAGATGGGTTGACAAGAGCCCTGTGATGACACCTGCTTTAACCACACTGAAGCTGCGCCACTCCCTGCACTCATGCACACATGCTCTGGCTCATCCTTCCCTTTCTCCTTCCTTCTCTCTCTTCCTCCCCGCCCTCGTCACTCCTCCCTACATTCCTTCCCTCTCTACTCCTCTTCCTCCATTACGCCCTCCTCTCCCTTTCTCTGTTCTTCTTCCTCCTGCCTCTCCCTTCCCTTCTCTGCCTAAGCCAAGAGCAAGTGTGTGTGCGTGGGGGGGTGGACGGCAGGCGGGCGGAAAACTCGGCCAAACTGAGGGCTCTTGGCAGCCGTGGGCAGGGGGGTAGCAGAGGAGGAGGGAAGCAAACGAGAAGAGTAGGGGGAATATCGAGCTTCACTTGCACTGCCTGCCCGTGCCCTCCTGCCCTTGCATGCTACCTGCCGTCTATCCATGCGTCCCTCCACTATGGACCTCCCATTTGCACCGTGTGCCTTGTGGCCGCCTTCCCGCGTGCCGCCCCTTGGTGATGGCAGGAGGTGATGCGCGAGCCGGTGGTGGCGGCGGACGGGTTCACGTACGAGCGCGAGCACATGGAGCGCTGGATGGCCGCCTGCACGCTCTCCCCCGCCACGGGGCAGCCCCTCGCGCACACCGCCCTCACGTCCAACAACGTGCTCAAGAACCTCATCGCCTCGCATCGCCTTTGAGTCGACTCAAAAGTACCGCCTCGTCGCCTCGCACCAAAACACATGACCACCACACCGCCACACATGGCCCCCACTGCCCGCTGCACAACGCATGTGCTTCGGATGGCATGGCATGGCATGGCTTGGCATAGCAGCACAACACACTGCTGCAGCTGTGCTCCGCTCTTCCCCCTGACCTTCTGTGGGTATGGATGGAGTCAAGAAGGTGCATCTGCTAGGCACTCCTACTATTTATCCATATGGGGCTTACCGTCTGCCAACCAACTTGGGTGTTGTAAACACAACCACCGCCAGCAGCTCCCTAGATATCAGCCTTTTTACGCTGATTCAGCCTTTTTTCAGGGGTTTCCGATCAGGCCCCTAGATTGGTTTTCAGGCATGCTGATCGCTCAGAATCCCCCGAGTTTTTCCCTAATTTTTCAGGGTAAGCCCAAAAAAACTCTCATGAACGGGCCCCTGGACTGGATGGGATTTCAGTTACCTACCGTCTTTCATGTGAGGGCAGTTCCCCTAGTTTTGATTATATTAAGGGTTCAAAATTTTCATGCATTTCCACATCAGGGTCTGAAAACATTGTCATTCCTCAATGCAGAAACAATGTTTACCTAACAATATAATGCATGGCCTAGCTCTACAATTATGCAGAGGTCTTGCACGCTAAGCTACTACGATCTCGCCACTGCTTATGTTGATGCTACTGCTGTTGATGCTGCTCCCGCTGATGCAACTGCTATTGCTCCTGCTGCCGCTGCTGCTGCTGCTGCAGCTGGAGAGACTCGCCGATCGCGGCAATTTGAGTCGACTCGCAGCTGCTGCTGCCGCCGCTGCCCTTACAGCTGCTGCTGCCGCCGCTGCCCTTGCAGCTGCTGCTGCCACCGATGCTCTTGCAGGAGCTGCTGCTGCCGCTGCCCTTACAACCGCCACTGCAGCTGCTCTTGCTGCCCGCAGCCACTGCTGCCACCACTGCCGTGGCAAGCCCACAGCCGCCTCCGTTAGCCAGCTCGCAGAACCGCCGCTGCTAGCCAGCTCACCGCTGGCCCGCCGCCGTCGCCATCCAGCTGTTAGCTAGCAGCCGCCGCTGCCACAAGCTCCCACTGCAGCCCCTGTTCCTGCTGCCCCTGTAGCAGCTGCCCCAGCTGTCCCTGCTTCTGCCTCCTCTGTCTTCATGGCCGCAGCTGCCACCACAGCCACCAGCATGGCGTCACCCAGTGTCTTCGTTCTGCGCCTGGATGGGGAGGGGCGGGCAGTCGGTTTCGCCGCCTGGCAGGAGGCAGTTCTCCTGCAGCTCACGAGTCAGCGCGTCAACGACGAGTCCCTGGACATCCACGTCTCTGGTGAGCTCCCTGCTGTCCCCCCCCCCCCCGGGTGCTCTTGCTGCTGACGCGACGTCTGAGCAGCAGGCTGTACATGCTGCTGCTCGTACATCATACTCTGTCTGGGCATCCTGCGACGCCACTGCTCGTGTTGCCATCCTCAGGTGCATGCCGGTTGACGAGCACTCCCACTTTGTGGGTGCAGCGTTAGCCGACACCCTCTGGCTGGCTATCCTCGCTAGATACTCCACCCCGTTGTCTGCCACCCTTGGTCATCTCCTCCTCCCTTTCTTCCACCCTGACCTGACGTCCTTTACCAATGTAGCAAACTTAGTCGAGCACCTGCGCTCCCTCGAGGCTCGCTGGCATGCGGCCTGTACAGAGGCCCAGCTAGCGCTCGCCCCGCCCCCCCTCTTTCCCACTATCTACTTCCTTGTCACCCACCTCCCGGATTGTCTAGCCCTTGCCCGCGATGCGCTCCTCGCTCGTCACCCCTCTGAGCTCACCCTTGACCTCTTCTCCACCTCCCTGACTGAGGTAGAGGACCGCCTCCGCGCCATCGCTGGTTCCACTGGCGCGCCAACAGTCCCCATCTTTCAGGGCAGCGCTCCCTCTTAGGTGATTATCCCTCCTGCCTCTGCCTCTGTAGCCTAGACTGCAGTGGCTGCCTGTGCCCCCGGCCGCTCCTCTGGCGGCAAGGACAAGGGCAAGGGGGGCAAGGGTTGTGGGGTGACGGGTGCAGCGGGTGGAGGGGGTGCGGGTGCGGATAGAGAGGGTGGTCAATCAGATTTGGGGACTGCGTAGCAGCAGCAGCAGCAGCTGCTGCCGTGGGGGCTGGCGGGTCCTGGGAGTGGTGGCCGTGGTGGTGGCCGCAGCGGTTGGGCCCCGGGGCAGTTGGTGCCCTGGGGGTACGTGGCTCTACTGCAAGCCAGGGTGCTAGTGGTCCTGTCGGCGCACCGACCTGCATGTACAACTGCTGACCGACCCCTAGGCGGGCCAGGTCTGCCTACGCCAGGGCCACACCGCCGTCCGCTGCTTCCGCCGCCTCGACGACCTCTACTGCCGTTAGTTCGGCCGCTGGCGCAAGTACCCCCCTGGTGCCTTGCTTCGTCGTGGGATTCTTATCTTTGATATGGATATGATTCAGATAGGTCATGCCTTGTATTCTCTGTACTCTGATGACTCTAGTACTGCAGCTTCTTATTGTCCTGTGGTTTTGTAGCTTAGGAGCCACTGTTGTGTGTAGTCTAGGATCCCCGGCTGCGTCATGCGTAGAATCCCCTGCTGCGTCAGGCTTAAGCTCTGTAAGAGATTCTTTACTAGGCCCCGCCACATCGGCCCTCTCATTTATCCTCGACTCTAGCGCGTCTCGTTGCTTCTTCTAAGACAGTAATACTCTCACCCCGCTTCATGCGCCTGTCTACATCGCACTAGCAGACTCCTCCACCAGCTTTCGCCCGTAGCACTACCACTCTCCCCTGTCCAACTGTCTCTTCCGGATTCCTCACCGGTCTACACATCCTCTCGTTTGCCAGGAACATAGTGGGTGTCAGTCACCTCCAGGACTGAGGAGTCACCACTACGTTCCCTGGCTGCGAGAGACACACAGCTTGCACAGATACAGCAACCGGTCGCCACCTAGCCCCTTTTGAGCGTAACCTAGGGTCAGGTCTTTTCATACTGCACACTGAGTACCCGCTGGCTGTTGCGTCTGTTGTGGTCGCCGTGTTATGCTCCTGTCGCTCCCTTGCCCACCCGACCTTACTGTGGCACCACCACTTAGGTCACCTTGCACTCCAACAACTTAGGCACATGTCCCAGCACGGTCTGATCACTGGTCTCCCTGCTTGACGCCCCGCCCTGCCTATCTTCGTCATGCCACTGTGCACCTCCTGCGTCGAGGGCAGGCAACGCGCCGCCCCCCACTCCTCCTCGTTTCCTCCTACCACAGCGCCGCTACAGACGCTGCACATGGACGTCTGGGGCCTTGCCCCGGTCCATGGTCTTAGTCGGGAGGGCTACTTTCTCATCGTCATTGACAGCTTCTCGCTTTTCAGCACGGTGTTCCCGTTGGAGCGGAAGACCAACGAGCCTACCGTGCTCCTTCCGTGACTCCTTACTGTCCGCGTTCAGCACCGACTGCCCATCATTCGCTTACACTCGGACAGTGATGGCGAGTTTGCCTTTGGCACTTTAGGACAGTACTGTAGTGCGGAGGGCATCCGCCAGATGTACATACTGCCGGACTCCCCATTGTAGAATGGGGTCGCCGAGTGACGCATCGGCCTGATTATGAAGATAGCTCGTACCTCCATGGTTCGCGCCGGTGCACCCCATTTTCTGTGACCGTTTGCTGTGCGCTACGCTGCTCACCAGCTTAAAGCGAGAGGTTATAATAGTGACCCCTCTTTCTAGTTGGGCCCAACTAGAAACTACCCTTGAGCGAATATTTTGCTTCGCGCTGGGCAGCAGCCCAGATCTTTTAGCTTGCATTGGGCCACGAAATCGAATTGCTCCTGCGACGGGAATGTTATCGTAACACATCGTACAACCACTGGCATGCGCAGACAATAATTTCGACCAATCGGCAACCAGCCTTGGTTTAGCAGGAGTTGTGAACCCGGGTCCAACTTGAAATTCAAGTTGGGCCCACTTGGTTCAACTTACGGGCAGTGGGGACTGTGAGACTGGTCACGCGCTATTTGCGACTTGAGTTTGTTCGCGCCAAGTGTTGCTCATGCCACGTTTCCCACCAAACGGAACGGGGTTTCCCGCCAACCAATCAAGTAACTGCTCATGCTCGCGCAGTTTCCCCTGCTCGCATGTCTTGACAGTGAACCCCTCAGCCCCAACCAGTTTGTCCCTTAGTCGCTACGACGAACTTCTGGGCCCTTTCAAGTTGGACCCCCCTTCATTATTTTGACCACTCGCTTTAACCTGTGGCTGCACTCCCAGCGGCCACAAGTTTCGCCGACCCGACTCTGAACCGGGTCTCCTGGTGACGCGTCGGTGTTTCACGTCTGGGGCAGCCTTGCTCACGTCCGCGACACTCACGCGGACAAGCTCTCAGCTCGCTCCCTTCCTTGTGTCTTTCCGGGGTTTTCGCTCGACGCCTCAGACTGACTATTTTACCACCCGGTACACCACTGCTTCTACCACTCTCGTGATGTTACCTTCGACAAGACACTCCCCTACTACCAGCGCTTCCCGTACCGCAACACCTCCTCCTCCTCTCTTCCTCGCCCCTCCCCCGCCTGTTGCACCCCTCCCACCCCGCCAGACCCAGTCAGGTGTCTCCCACGCCAATCAGTTCCCCTCGGTTGGGCCCGTGGGGAGTCGACTGACTTTGGGGGCCCAGCTGCTGGGGGCGCGCCTGCTGTCCCTGTGGATCCTCCCCCAACCTCAGTACCCCTGGAACCTCAGGCACCTCCCCCCGTGCCTCAGCAGCCAGAGCAACAGCCACAGCAGACTCAGCGGCCACAGCAGACTCAGCGGCCACAGCAGCAGGTAGCAGTTGGATTTGGGGGTGCTAGTTCTAGGGGTTGCTGGTGTTTGGGGTGCTGGTTCTGGGGGTGCGAGTTTTGGAGGTGCTGAATCTGGGGGTGCTGGTTCTGTGGGTGGTGCGTCCGGAGGTGCCAAACTTGGGGGTGCTGTTTTGGGGAGTGCCGGTGGTAGCCGAGGTGAGGCTGGAGGTCCTGGCGAGGACAGGGTCCAGCAGCTGGCATAGGCGCAGCAGTAGCAGCAGCCGCGGCCGAAGCACAAGCAGTCGCAGTGTGCCCTTCGTCTCCTTGGTCCTGCTCTAGGTTCCCCTGTCCGCCCGCCCGTTCCCCCTCCGGTGCGTGGCCCTGTTTACAGCCCGCAGTTCCCTCCTCCAGACTCCTCTCCGGCTCGTTTTCCCCTGCGCTCCCCTCCGTCCCCTGACTTGTCCCCCATCCCCTCTCGTCCCCAATCCCCAGTTCTTCCCCACTGGTTCCGTCACCCCTCTAGTGCTCGTCCTATCTCTCCCCGTGGTAGTGTCCACCCTATGGTCCTCCAATCTCGTGCTCCTCCAGTCCCCGAGCTTCTTTTACCTCCTCCGTCATCTCTCCCGCAGTCCCCCCCCTCCTCCTCGCTCTGACGCTGCTCGCACTGCTCGTCCTACCCTCTCGCGCCTGCTTGCGTCGCTTGTCACTGACCCTACTACTCCTCCTGAGACCGTCTCTGTGCTTGTCGCTACTGCCGCTGACTTTGGTGCTAGACACCGCCTTGACTACGCTGCCGCTCTGGTCTCTGGTACTGCCCGTCCTCCATCCGTCGGGCGTGAACCTGCCCTTGGTAGTGACGTGCTAGAGGACGGGTAGTACGATTTGGCCTACCTTGCTGCTGCTGTACCCCATCTCTGCTCCATGCTCGTATGTCAGGAGGGTGACCCAGATGCCCTCGACATCCCTGTCCCGCGCTCTTATGCTGAGGCGGTGTCGAGGCCCTGGGCAGCCAAGTGGATACAAGGCATGGAGGCTGAGATGGCATCCTACATATCCACAGGCACTTATGCCAACGCAGTTCCCTCGCTTGGGGCGAACAGTCTCGATGGCATGTGGATTTACAGGGTGAAGCGCGCACCTTGAGAGCCGCCGAAGTTCAAAGCGTGTTACGTGACTAGAGGCTTCAATTAGTGGGAGGGTGTGGACTTCTTACAGACCTTCTCCCCTACTTGAAGGATGAATACTTTTCGGATGCTCCTCCACCTATGTCACAGGATCGAATGAGTCGAGGAAAGATTGCACTATCGATCAGTATAAGGCGCTTTTATACTTCCAGAGTACATCAGGTAACCATGTTTATCTTATCCCAAGGGAATAGACCCTTCTAGAAGATAGAATCACCCTGCGTATAGCCACGCGAGGCTATTGGCTTTAAGGGATTACGGCACGATTACGCCAGATAGCGCACCAGTACATCCCAAGCCTGGTCGGTGATATAATTATAATAGCAGGATAAATCAAAGGTCCATGGAAAATGGAGAATAGGAAACCAAATGAGGAGAGATAAAAATAGAGATGAAATAGAAAAACAAGAGAAGAAGGAACAAGTGGTGTAACGGGGTCGTACGCTCACACTTCCCCCCCTCAAAGATGGGTGGTAGAAGTAACACCCTGCTTGACAAGGTAGTCATGCAGAGGACGACGGGCGTTACCCATGTCCGACTCAGGTACCCAGCTGTCCTCAGAAGGATCATAACCCTTCCAACGAATAAGACGCTCCACGGTGCCATTCCGACGATGGCGGTGTGCAAGCACGGACTCGACCTCGTACTCGGGTTCATTCTGGACGAGGACGGGCGGCGGCGGCGGCGGTTGGCGTCCCACGAAGATCGTGTTTGGATCCCGATAGGGCTTCAGAAGTTGGACATGGAAGGCGTTGTGAATCTTCCAGGTAGCTGGCAGGCGTAAGCGGAAGGTAACAGGAGTGACCTGTGCTTCAACGAGAAAAGACCCGCAGAAGCGAGGTCGCAGTTTAGATGGGAGATGGCTGATGTCAAGGTTGCGGGTGTCAAGGAGCACCTGGTCTCCCACGGCAATGGTGTGATCGTTGCGATGGCGATCGGCCTGGCGCTTCTGTTGCTGCTGAATGTCGAGGAGGCGCTTGTGGGTCCGATCCCAAAGATGATGCATGGTTGTGATGAAATCATGTGCAGGTTGAACTGTAGCGGATGTTGTCGGTTTCTGTGGTGTGAGTGGGTGGCGTCCGTAATAGAGGAAGAACGGCGTCTGTCCAGTAGCGGCGTGAGTGACATTGTTGTAGGCAAACTCCAGGACGGGCAGATGCAAGTCCCATTTGGAGATGTCGTCTTTGCAGGCTGCACGGAGGAGTTGCTCAACAATCTGGTTGAGGCGCTCGGCCTGTCCGTCTGTCTGCGGATGGTAAGCGGATGACATGGCGAGTTTGGTCCCGAGGAGAGACATAAGTTCCTTCCAGAACTTGCTGGTGAACTTGGGGTCTCGGTCGGAGATGAGTGTGGTTGGAATGCCATGCTGTGAGATGATGTAACGAACGAAGAGTTGTGCTGTCTCCTTGGTGCGTGCCGTCGTGTGTGTCGGGATGGAGTGTCCCATTTTGGAGAACTTGTCGATGACGACAAGGATTGCGTCATGACCGCTGGTGGTAGGTGGTAACCCGGTGATGAAGTCCAAGCTAACCACTTGCCATGGTTGTTCTGGGACAAGAAGAGGCTGTAGTAGTCCCGCCTTTTTCTGCTTGCTGCTCTTCATCCGCTGACATGTATCACACGAGGTGACAAACTTCTGAACATCCTCTACCAAGTGGGGCCAGTAGTAGTGTTTTGCAATACCGGTCAGCGTCTTGTTGCTACCGAAGTGTCCGGCGTAGAGGACGTCGTGGTATTCTTCGAGTAGTAACTGGCGCAAAGGAGGGTAACTGGGTACCCATATTTTCGTTGATCCTTTCCGGTACGCGATGTCACTGTCCCACTGTAGCAGATGTCGCTTTTCTACCAAGGGAATTTCGGGGTCGAGGGCATACCCGTATATGAAGAGTCCCTTGAGTAGTGGATTCATCCCTTCGACCTGAATAGCGGCAACGTGTGCAGGCTGGCTGAGTGCGTCTGCTTTGTTTTTGTGGCCGGGCTTGTACACGATGTCGTAGTGGAAGTGTGTCTCGAGGAAGTCGATCCACCGGACCTGCCGCCTCGAAAGGTTGGGTTGTGTCTTCAAGTATTTCAGGCTGCAGTGGTCGGTGTAGACGGTTGTTCTTCGTCCTTCAAGGTAACATCTTCACGCTTTGAAGGCGATGACGATGGCAAGGGCCTCTTTGTCGTGTATCGGGTAGTTTAGTTCTGCCCCGTGTAGTTTCTTACTTAGGTAGGCGATTGGTTGTAGTCCATTCCCCTGATCTTGCATTAAGACTGCTCCCACTGCCTGGTCGCTGGCGTCAGCTTTGATTACGTAGTCGCGTTCGGGATCTAGCAGGATGAGTGCTGGTGTGGACGTGAGTGCTTGTTTCAGCTGCTCCACGACTTCCTGGTGCTTCGGCTCCCATTTGTAGGGAGTGTTCTTCTTCAGCAGATTCGTGAGTGGTGCTGCGAGTTTTGCATACTGTGGCACGAACCTGTTGTAATAATGAGCAAAGCCTAGGAACTGCTGCAACTCCTTCACGTTCTCGGGTGTCTTCCACGTACGTACGGATTCGATTTTCTTGGGGTTGACGTGAACTCCTTGAGCACTCACCATGTGTCCTAGGAACTAGACCTTCTCAAGGGCGAATTCGCTCTTGGACAGTTTGACGTAGAATCGTTCTCGTCGAAGAATTTCGAAGACGCGTCGCAGGTGTTCGACGTGCTGCTTCATGTCGCTCGAGTAGATGAGGATGTCGTCCAGGTACACCACCACGCACTCGTCTAAAAGTGGTCGTAGAATGTGGTTTATTTCGGCTTGGAACGTTGCCGGTGCGCTGGTGAGTCCGAACGACATTACCAAATACTCGTACGATCCATAACGAGTTCGGAAAGCAGTTTTGTGGATAGAGTTGTCCGCCATCCATATCTGCCAGTATCCGGACCACAGATCCAGTTTAGAAAATACCGTAGCTCCCCGAAGCTGGTCAAGCAGGTCATCGATTCACGGAATCGGATATTTATTCTTGATGGTCTGCTTGTTAAGAGCTCGGTAGTCGATGCACATGCGCAGGCTTCCGTCCGGTTTCGGTGTGAAGAGTACTGGGGCACCGTACGGCGAAGTGGATGGTCGGATAATTCCTTTGGCTAGGAGATACTCGATCTGTTTTTTCATGTCGGTCAGCTCCGTAGGCCTGAGCCGATATGGTGCTCGGAAGGTCGGCTTCGAACCCGGTTCCTCCACGATCTCGTGTTGATGCGTTCGGTATGGCGGTAGTTCGTTTGGAAGATCGTCAGGAAGAATGTCTTGGAACTCCTTCAATAATTCCTTGATCTTTCCCGGAGGTTCTGAGGTCTTCTCCCTATCATTCTCCACCTCTGTTGCTATCGCCAGGAACCCGGTATCGGTTCGCTTCACGTCCTTCTCGAATCGTGCGAGTGTCTCCACTGGGATATCTCTTGTATCGTCCCAGTTTGGTAGCTGTACTCTCCGTCCATTGTTGTAGATGCTTGCGGTGCGGTTCACCTAGTTGATCTCGGGGTTGAATCTCTTTAGCAAGTCTCGCCCGAAGATCAAGTCAAGCCCTTTGATATTGGTGATGGGGAGTGCAGGTCTCCAGCGCAGTGGTCCGATTTGTAGGTGTAGCACTGCTTCACCGTGTACTGGTAACTTGCTTCCGTCCACCATCGTTGCAGAGAATCCTGAAGGCTTGTACTCTTCCCGAAGTTGGTCGATTACTGCCTTGTTGCAGACGGTGTGTAATGCTCCACTGTCCACAAGTCCTTGAAGGCGTCGTCCTTTGCAGATGACCTTGAGCACGAGGGGCAGGCGTTGCTCGGAGTACCCAAAGATGGTTTCATTGATTGGGTCATAGGGTACATCCCAATATTCCGTACACACATTTGTGTTGCTATCTACTCCTGAGCTGGTAGCTGGCCAAGGCTGCTTGGAGAACGGCTCTTCTCCAGGGCCCGGAGTTTCCTTGACGACTGTGCGTGTTATTGATGCCGAAGAACTGGATGCATCCGGAGGAGGAGTTCGGGGTTTGTGCAGCTTTTTGTAGACCCCCAGCTTCCTCCTGAGCTGCTTCAGCTCCACCGACGTCTTCCCTGGGGAACGGGTAGTCGTTGTGGGCTGGTGTCGGGAGAGGACGTTGACTCCGTGGAAAGGTCGGCTTCTTTCCACACTCAATTTTTTCCCCAAGTAGTCTGGTACCGGTATAATCTCCACAGCTGTCTGCTTCTTTTGGAGTCCCTCCCGAAATTTCTCCAAGGCTCTAGCCCCTCGAAAATCATAAGTTTTTATTAAAGCATCTTTATAAGATAACTTTAACGAATCCTTATTATTTCTTGGGTCTTCAAGGAGTTTCCCTGTCTTGGCAGAGTCTTTTTTCACGGAGTCGTATTTTTCCTCGGCGATTTTCCCTGGCGAAGACTGGTCGTGGGGTGGAGATTTTCCCCCATCATTTCCTCCTTCTCGCGTCGAATCAGCTTCGTCGAGGTTGATTTTCCCAGAATCCCGCGGCCGTTTTCGGATATTTTCTTTTTTGCCAGCTAGATCCGCGATCACCGGCGACTCCCGTTTTTGTCTTCTGATTGGCCGAAGGAATTCCGCCACTGTTGCGTGCCCGATACTCTGCGCGTGCGGCTTTCATTTTGTTGCAGTCGAAGATTCGATGACCTGGTACCCCGCAAAAATCACACGTGTAGATGGTGTTTTTCGGACGTGGCCGCCCCTCGAACCTGTCGACTTCCATCGGGTCGGCGAACGTGGGGTGAGCCGAGCGGTCGCCCTATCGCGTACTGCCGACGTGCGTCCGTCATGTCCCGGCGTTGACCATGTCGAAGCGCTCCGCTGCCGAAACGACGTCACTGTAGCTCGCGTAGTTTGACGCTGCCACTTGTCGTTTGACTTCGGTCTTCAGCCCGGCGAGGTACGACTGTACTTTTTCCCCTTCGATCAGGTCGGGAATTCGGTTATAAAATTCCTCCATCTGCTGCGTGTACTGCGCTACACTCCCGAACTGTCGATGGCGATGAATTTTTTCCCGGGCAAGAAAACCTGAATTTATTGGCTCGAAACGTTTCAGCAGGTCGGTGTGGAACTGCTGCCACGTGGCTTCACCGTGGATGAAGGTGCTGTTGCCGCCAATCCACTCGAGTGCCGGCCCTCGCATCAGTGTTGCCGCGAGTCGTACACATTGACCATCCCAAACTGGCGAGCTCCATCCGACGGCTGCGAAGTAGATCTCCATCCCGGCGATCCATCTGCGGGCGTCGGTGTTTCGATCGCTCGGATCGAACGGCTCAGGTGGGCGCGGTTTTGGAGCCTTGAGAAACTGCTGCGATTGCTGCGTCGTCGCCGTTGTCGAGTCGTGCTGCGCTCCGGCGAGTCGAGTTACTCGCTCGAACTCGTTTCGCCACGCTTCGCGATCCGCTCGCATCTCCTCCTGAAGGGCTGCGATGCGCGCGAAGAGCTGCTGGGTAACCTCGACGTTGTCGAAGGTTGCCATCCTGTTCAAAACACGCGCGGGGGGGGGGGTGATTTGAAAAAACGCGGAGCTGGTGCTTACCAGAATTGGCATCGAATTGGTCGCCCCCGGCGGTTTTTCGAGGCAAGTTTTCCCGATGCTGCTGCTTTGTTGAGCGCAGCCGAGTGAGAAAACCTCTGATAACCAAGTGTCACAGGATCGAATGAGTCGAGGAAAGATTACACTATCGATCAGTACAAGGCGCTTTTATACTTCCAGAGTACATCAGGTAACCAGGTTTATCTTATCCCAAGGGAATAGACCCTTCTAGAAGATAGAATCACCCTGCGTATAGCAACGCGAGGCTATTGGCTTTAAGGGATTACGACAGGATTACGCCAGATAGCGCACCAGTACATCCCAAGCCTGGTCGGTGATATAATTATAATGGCAGGATAAATCAAAGGTCAATGGAAAATGGAGAATAGGAAACCAAATGAGGAGAGATAAAAAGAGAGATGAAATAGAAAGACAAGAGAAGAAGGAACAAGTGGTGTAACGGGGTCGTACTCTCACAACCTAGCTGCGCAGCGTGACTACAAGATTTGCTCACTCGAATTCTCCACAACCTTCCTGTAGGGTAGTCTTTACGGGCACAGCTACTTCCGTCGCCCTCAAGGATTCTCTAGTTCTTTCTCACCTGGGATTGAGTGGAGCGTGCGCCGCCTTGTCTACGGTCTTCGACAGGCACCCAGTGAGTGGCACGACACACTTCACACCACTCTTGTTAAACTGCTGTTCGTTCCGTCCTCTGCTGACCCCTCTCTCCTTGTTCGCATAAGTCAGATCCCGTTCTACATCCTAGTATACGTAGACGATATTATCTTTGCTACTCTTGACAAAGTCACACTGGACTCAGTGAAGGCCGAGTTTCTTAGGAGGCACACCTGTACCGACTTGGGAGAGCTGGGGCGCTATATGGGCTTGGAGATCTCTCAAGACCGTGCTGATCGCACGATCACAATCTCCCAATCCCATATGGTGCAGCAGATCCTCCAGAGGTTCAGTCTTTAGTTCTCATCGGCATAGTCCACCCCTTTGCCTATAGATAACAAGCTCTCTGCTCCTGTTCCGGCTGAGCCGGTCAAGGCTAGTGGTCCATACGCAGAGCTGGTGGGGTGTCTCATGCATCTGATGACCTGCACACGACCAGATCTAGCAACTTGGCTGATGTATCTGATGACCCTCTCAGTCTCATGGCTCGCTTTGTTGCGATAGGCAGGCACCAACCAGTCGCTTCTTGGGCTGACGACGTGGAGACAGCATCCTACAGACCCACACGATCACACGACTGTACCACACGACTGTCTCTTAGTCGCTGGCCGACGACGTGTATGTTTGCCTAGTGAGCACCATTGGATCCCGTCCTCCTAGCATAAGCTCCAATCCTGATGTACTCGATGTATACCGCTGTACCCTCTTGGCAATCGACCAGTGGACCTGTCGATGCCTGCCTGTCACAACAAAGCGAGCCACGAGATTGAAAGGGTACTTTAGATCTGGTCAAGTGTAGGTAATTAGGTACATGAGGCACCCCGCCAGCTCTGCGTATGGACCACTAGCCTCGACCGGCTCAGCCGGAACAGGAGCAGAGAGCTTGTGGTCCACTGGCCGAGGGGTGGGCTGTGCTAAGGAGAACCGGAGACTGAACCTTAGAAGGATCTGCTGTACCATGTGGAACTGGGAGAGTGTGATCGTGCGAGCGGCACGGTCACGAGAGATCTCGAAGCCCAGATAGCGCCCCAGCTCTCCCAAATCTGTACTGGTTTACCTCCTAAGCAACTTGGCCTTCACTAAGGCCAGTGCAACTCTGTCAGGAGTAGCAAAGATTCTACGTACACTAAGATGTAGAAATGTGTATAACCTGTGCAAACAAATAGAGAGGGGTTAGCAGAGGACGGAAAGAACTGCAGCTAAGCAAGAGTGGTGCGAAGCGTGTCGTGCCACTCACGGGGTGCCAGACGAAGGCCGTAAACAGGACGACGTATGCTCCTTTGAGTCCTAGGTGGGAAGGACCCAGAGAAGGCTAGAGGGCGCGGGAGGTAGATATGCTCGTGCAGACTACTCGGTAGAAACATTGTGGAGAAGTCGAGAGAGTGAAGCTCATAATCAAGTTGCACGGCTATGTAGAGAAGCACCCGAAGAGTAGTCATCTTTGAGGTCGGGGAGAAGGTGTGGATATAGTCTACACCCTCACGCTGTCTGAAGCCTCTAGCCACGTAACACATCTTGAACTTTGGCGGCTCTCCAAGTGCACACTTCACCCGGTAAATCCACATGACATCGACAACTTTCTCCCCAGAGGGGGGAACTGCATCGACGTAAGTGCCTGTGGATCTATAGGATGCCATCTCAGCCTCCATGGCCTATATCCACTGGGCTGCCTAGGGCCCCGACACCGCCTCAGCGTAAGAGCGCGGAACGGGGATGTCAATAGCATCTGGGTCGCCCT